TATATATATATATCCTGCACCAATGCTAGCTTGCCTGATACTGCTGAGGTTTACCCAACTCAGCAGCACTGTCCCTGTGCCCCGATAACAGCGCCACCTCGTGTCCCGCTAACAGCGCCATCTCGCGGCTCGTTGTGCAGATACGGAACCGGAAGCAGCCCCCGAGCAGCCTCACGGAAATCCGGCGGAGCTTCCGCACGAGAAGGACCCCCGGAAGTACACGGGTGCGAACATCCCCGGAAGATGCTTCAAGATGCTGCAGCAGATGACTGCAGAGAACGAAGGTGAAGCCATGAAGCTTCAATATCCCACCGACAGGTGGAGTCAGCAGCTCTAGATTTAATACATATATGTATATGCAACTGAGATAAGCTTTTTTTTACGCTGGAGCTTCTTAAAATGTTGAACTAGCTTACGGACCCCATTAGTACAACTTTTGCGAACCCTCAAGGGTCCGGGAACCTCATGTTGAGAACAACTGATGTAGACAATGGAAGTGTGACGTCAGCTCATTGTTTATTACGTCATCTTCTAGACTCAGGACAGCAGCAACAGCAGCAACAAGATCAGCAACAACACCAGGAAGCCGCCCAGCAGCAGCAGCAGCCACCCTCACAGCGCTACAACGCCCCGGCAGCAGCAGCAGCAGCAGCCACCCTCACAGCGCTACAACGCCCCGGCTGACTCTCAAGTCCAGAGCGGCGGATCCTTTAAGCTGCTACAGATGATGACGGAGGAGGCAGGGGAGCGCGAGGTCGACGACGAAGCGCGTACGTGGCGCCATCTATCGGTCGCGACCCACAAAATAATCGCGCTGTCTCGTGCGCTTGATCAATAATTTATTGATCGCGTGGTTTTTTCTGTTTGGTAGCATTTTTTTCGGGGTTGATCCCGCCGGGTTTTTTTCCCGTTTTGTTACCGAGGATTTTAAGTTCGGTTGAATGCTGTTTTCAGGAATGTTTCATTTATGCGGTTGATATAATCCCTGTGTTACGATAGGAATCCGTTTGTCGTTTGTTCATGGTGTCCCCTTACATGTCCACGCGAACACGCATGTCCTGGTGCGTGCGCTCACTGTGAGTGTATTTCAGACGCAGCCTGAGCGGTAATCAGGATAAAAAGGAAAAAAAATACTAGCTAAATGTTAAGTCCTAAAATTAAATTAAAATTAATTTATTTATTATTAAATATTTATTTTTTAATTAATTAATTAAAGTTATTGTTAAGTCCCTAACGTCCTAAAATTGTATGAGATGGCATTAACGTCTAGAGAAAGGCTCTGACGCGGTATCAGAACAATAATTAAGCTAAATAAACTAATAAAGCTAAATTTTTAGCTAGTTTCATCGGGACGAAGGCGACGAAGGGTGACGAAGGTGACGGAGGGGACGGAGCAGACGAAGGAGACGACAAGTGACGAAGGTGACGAAGGTGACGAAAGTGACGAAGGTGACGACAGGTGACGAAGGTGACGAAGGTGACGAAGGTGACGGAGGGGACGGAGCAGACAAAGGAGACGACAAGTGACGACAGGTGACGAAGGAGACGACAAGTGACGAATGTGACGAAGGTGACGAAGGTGACGAAGGGGACGGAGCAGACAAAGGAGACGACAAGTGACGACAGGTGACGAAGGAGACGACAGGTGACGACAGGTGACGACAGGTGACGAAGGTGACGAAGGTGACGAAGGTGACGAAGGTGACGAAGGTGACGAAGGTGACGACAGGTGACGAAGGTGACGAAGGTGACGAAGGTGACGGAGGGGACGGAGCAGACAAAGGAGACGACAAGTGACGACAGGTGACGAAGGAGACGACAAGTGACGAATGTGACGAAGGTGACGAAGGTGACGAAGGTGACGAAGGTGACGAAGGTAACAAAGGTGACGACAGGTGACGGCAGGTGACGACAGGTGACGACATAGGTGACGACAGGTGACGACAGATGACAACAGGTGGCGACAGGTGACGACAGGTGACGACAGGTGACGACAGGTGACGACAGATGACGACAGGTGACGACAGGTGAGAATGGTTTACGATGAGAGTTGCCTACGTTGCAGAAATGAAAGCTGCGCGTATTCGGAGGAAGCAAGAGGAAGATGAGGACGAGATGTCGTTTGGAGGATTGAGGAAGGCGACTCCATCCGTCTCCATGAGGATGCTAGAGAAATCCCTGCCGGCAGAGGGCGAGACACGTTTTACATTCATGGTTTATGAGGTTCGTCTCACGACACTGATGGCGGCTGATATACTGATATAGGTATTTTCCCGCCGATGAATCACACCATGCCATAGCATTCACCGTCACGTCACGATATGTGCATGGTTACGTTGCCACGAAACGTACGATGATGTGTGAGAGATGCAACGATGTCCTGTCCGTGTGTTCAGCGTCAGCACGTGTCAGTCCGCGTCTGCAATCCTCCCGTTCTGACGCTACGGCTTGCGTCATGATCTCAACCTGACGCAACAGGTTGTGTCATTCAGATGGCCTTATGCGCGTCCAGACGCAACGGCTTGCGTCAGCTTCGCGTCCTGACGCAACGGCTTGCGTCAGCCTCGCGTCCCGACGTAACGGCTTGCGTCAGCCTCGCGTCCCGACGTAACGGCTTGCGTCAGCCTCGCGTCCTGACGTTATCATTGCGTCATGACGCGACGGTTTGCGTCAGCATTGCGTCTTGACGTGGCAGTTCTGCTTCATTGCGTCCGTTCAGCCTTGCGTCAGCGTCACCTCGTGCGTCATCAACCCGTCATGTTACGTGTTTCTATAGTTCGGATGTTGTGAGGGAACCTCAGCCGATCCCGGACTATCGTGTACCACGATCCTTTGTTTATTTGACTGTAACCACGATCCTTTGTTTATTTGACTGTAACCACAATCCTTTGTTTATTTGACTGTAACCACGATCCTTTGTTTATTTGACTGTAACCACAATCCTTTGTTTATTTGACTTTAACCACGATCCTTTGTTTATTTGACTGAAACCACGATCCTTTGTTTATTTGACTGTAACCACGATCCTTTGTTCATTTGTCTGACACCACGATCCTTTGTTCATTTGACTGTAACCACGATCCTTTGTTCATTTGACTGTAACCACGATCCTTTGTTCATTTGAGTGTAACCACGATCCTTTGTTCTTTTAACTGTAACCACGATCCTTTGTTCATTTGACTGTAATCACGATCCTTTGTTCATTTGTCTGACACCACGATCCTCTGTGTTCCTTTGCTTGTAACCACGATCCTGTGTTCATTTGTCTGACACCACGATTGCTTTGTTCATTTGTCTGACACCACGATGCTCTGTGTTCCTTTGCTTGTAACCACGATCCTGTGTCTTTATTTGTCTGATACCACTATCATGTCTTCCTCCAGGACGCTTCATCACACAAGCCGTACGACCCGCGAGAGGAGCTGAAGAAGAAGGAAGGCAAGGCGAAGCCCTTCGCCTACATCCAGCCCGGCCAGCTCCCAGAGAAGCTCCAAAGGACTGCCATGATGCCTGGGAAGAAGCCCTTCACCTACTCTCCCGGTGGCCTTGACCTCAGTCACGTGAAGACCTCCCCGGGTCGCGTGCGTCGCACGCAGAAAGGCATGCCTTCCATGTCACCCTCGCAGCAGGCTGTCATGCGCAGCCCGAGCCCGGGCCGCAAGGCGGCAGCAGCAGCGGCGGCGGCGGAAGCAGCAGCGGTGCCACAGAGTCCGGGAGGGACTCCGTACTCGCCGGGTCCCGGGGTGGCGACGGTGCGGCACGCCCAGTTCAACTCACCGCTGGGTCTCTACACGGGAGAGAACGTCGAAGAGGCGTTTGTTGGACAGACCGCAGGCGTCGTGACGGGAGTGCACGGGTGAGTAGGTAGATTCGACGAGGTGCTATGAACATGTGTGCGGATAGAAGCTATGGCGCGTAGTAAGGGTACGGTGACGTGGGTGACGAAGGGGACGAAGGTGACGAAGGAGACGACGGGTGACAACAGGTGACGACAGATGACGAAGGAGACGAAGGTGACAAAGGTGACAAAGGTGACGACAGGTGACGACAGGTGACGACAGGTGACGACAGGTGACGACAGGTGACGACAGGTGACGACAGGTGACGACAGGTGACGACATGTGACGACAGGTGACGACAGGTGACGACAGGTGACGACATGTGACGACAGATGAT